TAATATAAATAAATATAAACACACACACATAGATACGCTTCTTCCAAAAAGAAGTCATGCACGTTAATATTTTGTTGGACCGCTTAGCTTTGGTTACCTCACGCATTCACTGTGGCATCATTTCGATGAACTTATGCAATGTCACATTTCTTTTTTTACCACTGCGTAAAATAATTTACAGCACATCCCAAAGATTCTAAAAGGTGCTAAGGTCTGGACTCTGCAGTGGTCAATACATGTGTGAACATGATGTCTCATGCTCCATGAACTATTCTTTCACAATGTGAGGCCCATGACTCCTGGCATAGTCATGTTGAAATATGTCCCTGCCATCAGGGACCGTCATTCAATATATTCAGGAAGGCAGCGGACCTCTTTTTTTGGGGGATCCCATGCTGGATACATTAAAAAAAACCTTGAGAGAGTAACAAAAAATGTAGGCAAATATATGCTATTGTAAAAGGACATAACAAAATGTTATGCTACTCTTTATGAAAGCTTCTCTTTAAAGATTCTCCAACAATATATAAAACGTATTCCATAAGTATTTAGATCATAGGAGAGTGTCAAAGTGTTGTTGCTCCAGCTGGGTCTGGACTACATAAAGCCTTCAGCTGTTATTGCAAACTGATGGACCCACAGAACACCACAACCCCTAAGAGCTTTAAAATAATCAATATTTTATCAATTATGTACTGAGAAGATTTTGCACTAAGGTAACTTCAAAGTTGGATCCCAAAGTACTTGAATGTACTGTCAGACTTACTTGTACTGTAGAACTTATTTCTGATGCAAAGCCTCCTGTTACTGGAGCTTCATGACTGATTAATAACCGACCGGTCTTTGCGACAGACTAGAAAACAGAAAAACAAAATGTCAGACATGCTATTTTCCCAAAAGAAAACAAGAATTGCATTATTTTTCTCAGACATAAAAACTGAAATAAGCAAATCCACATGTAGAAAATGGAGTGCTGGTTTACATGTCATCTACAACTACTAGAACTAATGGGGAACTATAAAAAGCAACCCTGGTCTAACCTATTCGTAATATTGCACTTTGCTGCATCTGCAAGTATATACAGCTGCCACTTTGAGCCATGAAAATGGTTTTGGCCAAGAATAAAGAATCTGGAGAATATTAGATGTCATGTAAATTACCCATTGCACTTTTCAAAATGAAAAAAAAAACATGCTAGAAGGTAAAAGTTGTCAGCTGCCATTAGGACATACACTATTATTCCTAAAATGATTAAAGTAAAGCAGATAATGTTAATTTGAATGAACTATTAGGCCTGATTCATATGGCGTGTGTTAACCCATGCAGCGCCATAGGATGGTTTTTGATGTGCCCGGAACTGCAGGAAGAAGCATGCGGGCAGTTCATTTGACTCTATGGAGACGCAGGAGTCGTGCACCGTTACACGTTGCTTCCCAAAGCTCTGAGTTTTGACAGCTGCACACAGACTGTGTACGGACCTGGATTCATCAAGTCTGCGTTCAAGGCCATACACCCTCTGTATGCAGCTGTCAAAACTCAGAGCTCTTGACACATCAACGGGGCAACTTGTCCCGTGTGAATAAAGCCTTAGTTTGCTGTGTACAATAGGCATGGTTTACGGAGTTTGGATTAAGCTGAATAGCCTGTTGCAGGGGAAAACCACAAAAAAGACAGTCCATTACGGGTGAAACATTGTCAAGGGAAAGCAACATAGCATAGAATCTGTCACAGAAAGATACCACACACAGCGCTGTCTGCTTCAGGGAACTCACCACTGGAAATGCCATACAAAACAGAGGAAAAATTAAACATACAGTAAGTCACACATAAAATGCCACATGCAGCAATGTTGATCATATAGGAAATTCCACACAAATAGCACTGTCTATTAGTAGGAGAAGGCCACACAGAATACAGAAATCCCAGTCCCTCACAGGGAAAATTATGGAAATGATGCAGGGAATGCAAACTGTGGGAGAAAAAGGTCACAAACAGAGCAGTTTGCACAGGGTAACATCATACAAAATGCTGCCAGAAACCAACACACGCAAAAAGTAGTTTGTCGAAGGAAAAAAAAAATGTCACAGGAAAATGACACACAAAATCACAGTCTATCACAAAGAAGATGTGACACAAAAAACAGTCTGTCACAGGGAAAATGTTACACAAAATGGACAGTTGCCAGAAGGTAAAGTTTAAAAGTAATGGGGGTGATTCAAATAAAGGATTTGCAAAGAAAATGTTAGCGTTATGCCTGTATCCAGAACTCTTGCGCTAAATTCATCAAAGCTTATGACAGTTCCATAGTTTATACCAACACAAGTTCTTATTTGCGTCTCTTTTCTAATAAGTCACAGTTAGGAAAACTGGAAGTAATTAGAACCGATGTCATTAAGTGACACTAAACATATGAAGTTAAATCTTAAAAATACATTCAAGTACCCTATTAACAAACATGTAGCTTATTTGTGCATAACTCAGCCGTAGATCCTCAAATCATCTCTGAATTGGTGCCGACACAGTCCTTCCTTCTGGAGGGTTGCTACTTTTGTTTTCCCTGGACCCCGTGTGTGTTGTAAAGTAGTAATACTTTAAATACTCGCGGATGTAAGCCACCTGGTCCTGGGGATTTTCTTAGCGTTTAGCTTACCTAGCCTCTTTCTCCCCTCAACCTCTGTTAGCCAATGGGCTTCCTCCAGTTAACTGATATCCCCAACGTCATGCAATCTGGCATATTTATTAGGATGTACCAATTCAGGACTAGACTCTTCAGCACTTTTCCTCTAGCCCATCTTCTAACTGTTATCTAGCTACCCACCTCCATGATCGCCACCCTCCTCTATACTGGCCATAGCCAGCACCTGATGTGTTTATTTAATCTGCTATGTTCTATTGCACTGGCTTCTTTTTTTCAATGTTTGTCAAAATTCATAAAACATTTGTGGTCACATTTTCCAAATGGGACCGTAGGCAAACATTTAAATCTGTCCCTTTAACCCTTTCCCACACTACAAAAAAGGGGGATTTATTGTTGTCTCTGTCCCATTTGAAAAGATTCCACCGCAATGAGAGCAGATTAAGACACCTGAAAGAAATATGTTGGAGTTTATTGTTGATCTTCTTATGATTATGCTGGTTACCTAGTTGTCAATACGTTGTCACCAACCAGAAACAAGTATGCAGATCAGAATCTCTTCACTTGCATATTTTCCGATCTCTAGAAATGTAAGATTTTGGGCATATTCCCACCTCTGTGTTTTTGATGTGTTCTAACAAATTTTTAACCACTTAAAGACTGGGGTGTTAACCTCCCTTCCTGTCCTATATACAGTGACAGGTCCTCTTTATGGAGACATCAGGGGTCTATAGGGACTCACCTAGGGACTCCCAAAGAAGCTGATGAAGCAGAGTTCTGCTTCACCAGCTTCTCATTGGCTACAGAAACCAGAGAAATGACAGCTGAAGACAGAAGTGATGATGCGGGAGGATGTGTGCTGATCTCCCTTTGATTTCAGTACAGAGAGCTGCTGTGCTGGTCCCAGGCCCGCACAGGGAACAATGGAGCCCAGGATAGGTGGCGGCGGAGGGGGAGGCGCACACTTGTACTCAACATACAATGAACACTTGTATGCAAAAAGCCATCAGTGGCTGCTTAAATTGCAGTCAGTTTCCCACTCTAGAAGACACTATTTGGCCATTTAGTTAAAATGGCTGGACAGGAAGTGGTTAATACATCTGTAAATAGCATGATATATTACCATTCTCCTCATGGAACAGGTTTCAGTGTGGTACAGTTAGTAAAAATGCTAGTGGAGCTGCGACTTTTGTAGGAAAATGCACATTGCGTAGAATAAAAGGGTAAGGCCGGTACACATATGTAAAACATATGTAACATGTATTTTATGTACTTTATGAAATAAAAAAAATGAAAGCCCTATCTACTTCTTGTCTGGTATAAAGGCAGGTTTACACCATTTTCCAGACCAGATCTGGTCCGGAAAATGGTGTGAACCTGCCCGCAGTTCCAGTGCATTCCAGACCAGACAAAATGAGACATGCAGTATTATTCTGGTCTGGTCTGGAACGGACTGCGCCGGTGTGAACAGAGGCCAGAAATAGCATAGGGATACATTAGGATGCAGTTTGGGTCCGCAAACAATCTTGTCTGGTCTGGAGAGTATCTGAAGGTGGTGTGAATGGCCCCCTAAAAGGGAATTCATCAGCACATCTTAAAACCCACAAAATGGTGGAAATCCATAAAAAAATTCAATGCATGTAAACTGCACTAAAAATGCACCATAGTGCATTAAAAACTCACGTAAAGCAGGCATTCACATGTACATAATAAAACAAACACAGATAGTTAGCAATGTAAGCCAAAAACATTCTCTCATGACAAAATACTTTTAAATCTACTTTCTGTGAAACTCTGTTATACTTTGTAAATATGATTAATTGCACTTGCTCCCTTAGCACATAAATATTTCTTTAACATTTTCCTTTTTTTATTTTTGATCGCAGATTACTTGTTCCAACAAAGTCAAGGTTACAGATGTAATACGGTGTGAAACAAGAAGACAAATCACTATGGAACATACTAAATTAAATTGTGCAAACCCCAAGTCAGGAAGAGGGCAATTTGGAGGCACAGACCTTTGTGGTGTGTCAAAATACAAAGGATTCCTGCAACTGAATCCATGTCAAGCATGGAGATAAATCAGTTGCTAATAATAGCTTCTCTGCTCAAAACACAGCAAAGTATATAATGTTACCCAAAGTACCAAGCGCAGGCAACTACCAGCGAAATTAAGGATTTATTTTAAAGATGTCTGTCTAAATCCAAAAGTCGGCTGATTATATTGTACATGACCACAAGCTGTCCCATATCTTCCGTTTTGCCAAAGTATAGGTTAACTTTCCAAATATTATATCCAGATGTGGCAAGGCACCCAACTGGAAACTTAACGAAGTGCTTAAAAATGCATAGTTCAAATGCAAGTCAGAAAGGAATATATTTTAATATCCATAAAATATGTTCCAAATGTCTCTGAAGATTAAGGACTTCCCTTCCCCAATCAGAATCACATTAATCTTCAGCAGTCATGTTGTATAAGCTAAATTATCCTCCAAGATTATGTTTCTTCTATATACAATAATAGGCATCACTGTCATCTTCTGCGTAAAAATCAGAAATGAGTATGTAATATGAAACTCATAGATTTTCAAGTGATTCACCAAGGAGACATATGTTCGTAGGAATGGAGTGATGTTTACCGGTTGTCATTTCAAACATGTGCTACCTGTCAAACCACCTTTTGCCTTGCAGTAAGCAATAACTCATTAAGAGCTATTGAGCTGAAACCGTACTAAGTATTTATTTCTAGAATCTTAATTCGACATGTCAAAAATAATATCAGTCACTTTTTAACATTAAACTAAAAAATAACCTCCAACAGGTTTCTACTGCTGTGTCTGTGTCCCTGTTGAAGAGATTTCCCCTCATTTCCTGAGTGGTCACTGGGCCAGGGAAAAAAAGAAAGCTCTCCAACAGAATCTACTTGTCTTGTAGAAATAGGAAGGGCTAAAATCTCCAACAGAGTTCCATTATTCTCTATAGACCCATTAGGAAGTTTCCCCCTTCCTTCCTGTGTCGTCATTGGGAAAGGAAGTGAAGATAAATCGCCTCTTTGTATTCATTAATGTAATTAATGGCAGCTAGTGTAAGTAGCTGAAATTGGCTTGGATGTCAGCCTCTGGTAATTCCTTATACAGCAACATTCAGGCTGGGAAAGGAAGAGGCAGGTCTGGGAGCCAATCAGGTAAGCTGCATGCAAAGTTAATGACAAAGTGAAT